AGTCGTTGTTATCCGAAGCCGTCTCGCCCGCAGGCTAATCGATTATACACTATTATAGCATACAGTGCCGAATCGCCGGCAGGGTATTCGGGGACCCGGCGTCAGAGCTGGAGGAAGGATTTCGAGCACTCGCCTAATGAGCACCGGTCGGCATTGCTCGCGCAGCGCGTGCCTCGAGGCGTTTCTTCGTCTTCTTCTTCTTATACGCCCGCCGATCCCGCGCGCGAGCTTCGCAGAGGCAGCAGCCGAAACTCGCGCTTCCGCGCCGTGCCGATTAGCGCCGCCAATTTCGTTCCCTCTTTCTTTGAATATTTTGTTTCGTTCACGCTTTGACGAGTCCTTCTTTTTCCACAGCTCTCATCTCTCTGGAAGCATTTCACGCGGTGCGTGTAGTTAGCCGCGTTCCTCGTCTGCGAGCGTTCACCCCCCCCCCCCCCCCCCCCACACCTTTTTTTTTTTCTTTTTCGCGGCCGGTGCTGGTCTCCGACAGCATTCACGAGCCGACTATGTTTCTACGCTTCTGCCGGCAGCACTCGCTGTCCGGCTTATTTATTTCCCAGCCGCTTGTAATTGTTGCGTGGGTGCGATGCGGCGTTTAGTAACACCACTTCCACATCTCACCGTCCTGCGGAGCATGCCCGCGCCGTAGTTTCTGGCGGTCATGCTGCGTCCGCAGTTGCGTAGAGTTTCCCTGCTCGCAACGACCGTGTTGCGCCAACACCGCCGCCAGGTGGAGTTAGTTGAGGTACCTTGCTAATGTTCTGTAAAGGGCTCCACCCTATAGTCCAAGATAATGGCGCGGAATTTTTCAAAGCGTCGGGGTTTAGGGGCAGTGAAGGCAAAATAGACTTTAAACGGGTAGAAATGACCAGGAAGAGACTAACTGATTGCTGGCTACAATCAAGGCGCGAGTGAAATTCAATCCTTAAACACATAGTGATAGTACTTAACTTTATGGCTAGGTGGTGTGAGCTACCGCCCGATCTAAAGGGCACAGCCGGATACGTTCATCCATCCATCCATGCGGCGCGGCGTTTAGATGAGGCAGGTAGCCTTGCGTGCGCGGCTGTATGCGTTCAACCTTTTGTTACGTGTGTCGTATATACACTGCATGCTTGTTGGTGCAGCAGTAGCTTCGATTGAAGCAGCCACGTCTGGTGGAACTGGAGAACCGTTAGGCAGCATTCCTGGCCTATTCGCATTCCTGCCGCAGTCGTTGCGCGCTGCGAGTGCGCAGTAACGTATACACACGTTCGCACGTACGTCGCAGCACGCCGGCATTCCTGCTGTATTTTTTTTTCGTTGTCGCTTTACCGAACACCACATGTCGTCTTGCAACATGTATACACTTCTGCATGCTCTGTTACTTTGAGCTGAAGCTAATAGCAATGATCTTCTGCCAAGGGTATGCGTTTACTCGCGGCTATCCTTCCTTTTTTTTTTCTTCTTCTTCTAATTGAATTTATCGTCCGTGATTTCTTTTTATTGCCAGCTGTCTCTCTCTTTTTTCCCTCCGAAAGATATTTGATGCTGCAGAAACATGGCTGAAGTGCGCAAAGGACTTCTCTTTTCTTCTTTTTTTAAAAATTTGAAGCGTCAATTTCAAGCTCCGAAAAAATAAAATAATAACGTTATATAACCCTGAGACAACCTTGGTCCAGAGTCTTATTGAAGCATTTCTCTTCAAATGGTTATAGGAACTTCGATGTTGTGCATCAGTCATTGCCGGTTCGTTAATGCTTAGATCATCAACGTGTCTGTGGACAGTCTTTGTGAAATCCTGCGGTCAACTAATTTGTTTCTGATTACCTTAAACCCTCGTAGATGTGCGTGATTCCCGCCGATCCCCTTTCATATATAGATAGTTTTAAACATAATACAGAACATGTCTCATTAAAAAAAAAGATACCGTAAGTCCGAACACTTTATCTGGACAGATTGCTCTGTAGTCAATCTGAATGCCCCCGCCCATCGCTGCAGTGGAAAGGGAGAGTAAACACCCTCGCAACAGGTATACTTTGGTGACAAATTAGGAATAACAAGTCTCCATAAAAGCCACCGCTTGCGCAGATTTATAAATACGCGTCCGATCACGGCATGCACCTTTTTGTGACGTCACTTAAAAGAGTAGAAGGTAACATACTAACAGAATTTGTTGTTGTTGTTGATGAAACGCAGCTAAGCGATGACATCAGTATTTCATCCTTCCTTTATAAGTCGTGGGAAAGGTATAGTGTAGCAGCGACGCATTAAAAACGATGCTCATCTGGCGTCGGATCCTCACATCCTTCAGTACGAGTTCAAAGGGACAGGCTAACATGCTTACAAAGGGCTCCTCAACTATTATTAACCTCAAGCAAGCGCTACAGAATTGGTCGTTTGCATAGTTGACGTCAATTTAGGATGTGTCTTTGTATGGTGTGGGTCTTCGTCGTGTCGTATAACTCGGTATAGTCAACGTGCTTAGCGCGTGCTCAAAGAGACGTGGTGCATGAGACCATGGATAAATGACTCTGCCAAGAGAGAGACCTTGTCAGAGAAGGTCGTGCCGTGCGGGATGCTCGCGGCGGACAGCATTTTTTTATTGTTATTATTATTTGCGGCTTCTTATTGCGTTCGCGATCCGGTCTCGCACAATAGGCGCAGCGGAAGCGAGACGAGAGCCCAGCAACAGAAACGGCGGGCTCGTGATGGCCGTCTGGCTAGACACCCTTCGATCGGGCACGGCCATCAACCGTCGACGGCAAATACCCTCTCGCATTACAGCGCTCCGCGCTGTTTCTCCGTTTCGTGCGTCAAGCATAGAGTGCATCACCATTATGGAAGCTAGCGAGACTTTGTGCTCACCAATGAATAGTTCAATAAGTTTAACACCCGTAATTCGATGTTTTTTCGGTGTTACACTGACCAATAAATGAAGATGCTTCGTGCCTTAAAAATAAACAAACCCCCTCATTGGTACGGTTGTCAGTAGGTTATACTCTGAACGTCTTCGTGTTTTTTTCTTTTTCGTATCGTGTCCTCCGCGATTAGTTCCGGTAGTGTGCAGCCAGAGATAATCACTGAGGCCGCGTTTGCAACGACGTTGTTTGCGCAAAGAAGTCATGAACGACGAAAGCCGAGCGCGAGACGCACCGATTTGCACAGCTAAATTTGCTGACCGAGCTTCTTGCGTAGCTTCCGTACCATTGCGTCATCTCATGAACATCGCGATGACGTTATTGCTGTCAAAGTTATAGGGCTGCTAAGTCTTACGAGTTCACATGACCGCGCGTAGTGCGCACGAAGTCAAAAAACAGGACGACTGCCGTAACTATTAACGTCCGTCCATCTTTTATCTCTGTTCGCTCGCGTACTTTCACTGCGTTTGTCTGGCTTGGCCTTTTCTTCTCGCCGAACAACAGGGCGGCCTTGTGTTGTACGGCTTGTGCTTTCGGTATAACGCAAGAAGTAAACTGCCGTTTCACCTCTCGTTAGGTTGCGCGTGGCATCTGCCGCCGCCGCGCTGCAGCGAGCCTGCCTTTGTGATTGCCGCGCGGTCGTTATCCGTCACGTCTGATGCCGGTATGCGGAGCCCATTGTCTGCCGGTGGTGTGAGCGGAGGGTCGTAATGAGAAGTGACTCGGCGGACGATCCATCGAAAGGTCACGAGTTGCCCTGCGGTGTGGTGGTGGTAGTGGTTAGAATGAAGAGGAAAAAGGCACCTAATTTCTGTCTGCCTTCAGGTGACACGGCGCAGTGCCTTATAGGGGTGGGGGGAAGGAGGGATAAAAAGAATAGAAGGAAAATAGACGGAGAAGAAGACAGCCAACGAGAGAAAAAAGAAGGAGATAGGAAAGTGGGGATCCGGTCGAAGCAGTCCAAGGGCGGGGTGCCACAATGCGAGAGCTGCACGGCGTCAGGAGACCGCGGAGGGCGAACCAGTCGGCGGGAGCTACGCTGATGTCGGAGATCGCGAGGGCACAACCGTCCAGCTTGAAATCCTGCGAGCGAATCCTGCGGTGTAGAGGGACACGATTGGTTGCATGCGCTAGGCCTGGGCCTAGCTCCCCCCTCCTTTTTTTTCTTCTTTCTGCACGAGGGCGCCACCATCTTCGGTTGTCAATTGAATGCTCTCTTGATTTTGCGTATCGCGACGTCCACGAATCAGTAAGGTGACGAAACGCTCGATGCACCAGACCAACCATTTTCGTGCGCACACGGGTATACGTTATAGCGTTGTTCGTTAGCAAGGTCAGCGCCTCCTTTATCTTCGCTGGCAAGGTTAGCAGCACCGAAATCCAGCTTCAGAATTGTTCTGCATTCCTGAAAATTATCTCAAGAGAGCGCAGCGAATTGTTGCTTATCCACTAATTCTTCATGGGCCTGCGCAGGGGGGAGAAAGGAGGGTTCGTTCGTCGACCTCCCCCCCCCCCCCTTCTCTTCCCCAACATCTTCGTGCGCACGCCTGTGCCTTGCCTGTATATACTTTTTTAGGAACGTGCATGACTCCCCCCCCCCCCCCCCCCTTTTTATTGTCATTCTGATTGTTTTACAAGTGCTATGCACATGAGCACCCAACATTTAGCGAACCCTCTCGCCTTTTCTAACTAGAGTAATGAATAATTGATTGGGTACATCCACACCAAACTGAACTAAACATAAGATCACTTCACAGCTGACATGCAAAATGAAAAACCGCTGCGAAGTCGTGTTTTCCAATTGACAATGGCGGATTTGATGAAACCCGCGACGCAGTTCTCATTCATGCCCGTCTCCCTTCCGTCTGCCAGCGTGGCTAGCTCGGTCGTTCTCTTACTTCGAATCGCCATCACGATCAGCACGTCAGGCCAGGTGCGGGCATTTTGAACGTTCCCGCCTCCCTCTTCCACCAGCGGGCCAGTTCCCTGGCGCCACCACGTGCTCCGTCTTCGCTCCGCATGGTCTTGCCCGAGGTTTTGGTCGTTGCACTCAGGCTCGGCAACGTGCAATTTACGTGCGGTGCTTATAGTAGCGTGTTCATTATTTACTCCGCGATACAATCGTCTGCACTCGACATGGTGCCTCCGAGCAGCGCCGAAGAGGCTACGGGACGATGCCCCGTGAGTAGCACCGATAGCAGCAGATCAAGGAACTCGTGGCGTTTCGCTAGAAGAGGCAAGCGCTCTCTCCAGGGGTTGCGGCTTGAAAGAAAAACACCCGCCTGGAATCAGCCGTGGCGTGCACGAAGCGTGACCGTCGGCGCAGCCTCGTTTTGTCTGCGATGGCCGCGTCGCCGTCGTAGAAGCAGCGACGCATGCACGAATGCTTATTGGACCGTGTTGCTGGATTTGCCGGCGGCCACAGGGCACCGCAGTCGGTCGCATCTCTCTTTTTGTCTCTCGCGCTCGGAGAGTTCCCACGTTAGTCGTCGTCCGGAAAGCCGAAATAGACCGGGCACGTACGCTGTCTGTTCTTTTTTTTTCTTTCTTTCTTTTTTAAGCACACCGCTTTTGAGATGGGCGTGCAGTTGCAACATAAACGGCGGTAGCTTGCAGTTAACTTTACTACTGTAGGCGCAGGCTTCCTTCAGCAATCAGAGGAAATACTGGTATTATCAGGCATTGCGGCAGCTCTGTGAAACTGGGTGAATTGAAAAGAAAAGCGTTTGCTCCAGACATAGGAGTAGCCCCCCTCTCCCAAAGATGGGGGAGGGGAAGGATTTCTGGCTTAGCTCCTGACTCGAGAGTTGCTTCCGGCAGTGAGAGTTGAGCTTGTTCATGCTGCTGGCTTTTGCTGGGCCATGGCTTGTTAAGCAACATGAAGAATTACGTTGTAGCCTCTGTAGCTCGGTAATCCTCTAAGTGTGTCATTTTTATAATTTTGTGAAAATGAGTCTGTCAAGCAGCTCGTAATGCCATGGTTTAACATGATCAAGTTGGATCTGGTGGCGCATCTCACATGGTTTATTAGATAAAGGTTGTTGTAAAATTATTGTTTAGGATATAGTAAACTGACCAGTTGTGCGCTGCCTTTGTTTTCTTGAAAATTAATTGCCATATATTGCCAGTAGATTTTCTTTAGTAGAATCTGGGAAAAATCAAAGGACATTAAAGTGCAGACATAATATCAGCGCTATTATTCTGTAATCTTATGTCATGTTAAGTGAATTATGGCACCAACTGGCAGTATTGTTCGATCGTTGTGTGTAGCCTGCGTGTGTTATGCTTGTAGCATCATCTTGATCCTTCTTCCTTATAGCAACGTCTTGTAATACCCTCCATCATCTGTATTTTCTTGCAACTTCTGGAATTACTTTTTCTAGCAAGTGTTCTCAACAACAGGACCATAAAATTACATATTGCATTGACAAATGAATTCCTCCCCAATGTATTTTTTCGTAAATGTCAATCTCCCTTTTAGTTTAATTCAGGTGCAGCACGCACTTGACAAAATAGCATCTATCCTAATGCATTTCATATATTTGTATTTCAGTTTGAACATTTTCTATGGAGGCTTACTTAAATATAGGAAAATTCTAATTGTGCTTCATTGACAGAGTTTCTTTTGCACTATAAAATGTCTAGCTTTCCATAATGCATCTGGTATCGTGATGTATTAGATTACAAATCATTTATGCTCTTATGGTACAAGAGATACCCCTCTGTGGAGTTTGGATGCATCACCGATCCTGCAAGTTCAGCTAGTACTCTGATGGTGAATGTTCAGTATTATTGACTAAATTTTGTCACTTTCTTTAATTTTTTTTTGGTACACATGTACCAGTCAGTTATAGCAGTAATATTGATAGTTGCACTAGGAGTACCGACAATTTTTAGCTCACTGTTGCATTATTCATTGCATTGGAGTAACTGTTAATGGTACAGTAACCTTACGCGAAACCTCTGGCATCACGTAGCTCAGTGACTCGATGCCTCTTCCCCTAGTCTACATGTCATTTAGTTACAGTGAGCTGCCAGCTTTCTTTGATGGTGTCCCCCTTGCTTCTCTTTCTCTGTGGTGGCAATAGCACCTGGAAAGCCAGTGCTCGGCTATGAATAGTTTCCTTTTTGAGTGACCCTGCCTTCAGGGCACTCAGGTAGGCACTGTTTAGCTTCACTCTTGGAGCAGCTGTCTTGCCATCTAGCTGTCTCTTGTACCGGCTTTTGGATTGGGAGATGAACACCCACAATTGTATTGTGAGCCATTTTGAAATTAGTGTAGGTGCCTACATAACTAATTTTAACTTTTCACTCCCGTGTTGGCAGGTCTTGAAGTTGTGAGTTTGAGCATAATGACAAAAACTTATTCTTCTGATTTGTCTTCACGTCCATCAACAATAATGATGGTTAGTGAGGAAGACCATTAGCCATAAATAGCAGAAGCTATAGTTGACAATAATTCCGACAAAATGCGAGACTGCACACATTTACAACTTGGGAAAGCCCTTTAAACATTTATTATTGATTCTTTTTTTTTCCACTTATTGCACTATTTGTGCTGGATAATCTCATAGAAACCTTGTGAAATTGCTTTGAAAAAAGAAATAACTTCGTTGCTGGTTTATCCATTGCTTTTGCGCAAGTTAAAATTTTCTTGGTTAACTGTTGTGAATTTGCAAAATTTAGTTAGAAGATACTGTGCTATAGCACACTTTGCATATGCATTGGTGCTAATGGTGGATTCTGAACAGCTTAGAATAATGAAGATGCACATTTTAAACTGGTACAGATTCGTATGAGCAGCATGGGCATGTACTGTTTGTTTTTGCATGTGTGGATGATTTACATAGTGGAAGGGACGTTCTGTTTTTATACACCGTTGAAGGGAATTAAGCGTTTCACGAATTCTGAACTTTGGGTTCTTCCTTTTCTTTTCATTTTTGCAGCCTCAAGACACTTGGGTTACTGTACATAATGTTAAAAGCTGCAATGACGGGGGCATCCTGGACCTTGACGACCACCTCAACGACGTCGTCGATGACAGGGAACAAGTGAGCGGGGCTTGTTTTTTGAACACTGACGCTATGTGTACATGAGTGCGGCTACAAATCGAGCTTTTGATGATGCTTTCTTTCCCATTTGTGTCATTTCGGTGGGAGGTGGGAACAGTCGGTATTGATCCCTTCATTGCTTAACTATGTGTTATCGTTCCTGACTGTTTGCTGCCTACACAAACTGCCTCACTTATGAGCTACTAAAAATGTGATGGCAGGAATGTTATCATCCAACACATCACCTTCTCGGTGAATGGAGAAACTGTCCATTGTCGTTTGGCTTGGTTACACAGAAGCTTTATTGCTTCTGAACATCCTAGAAGCGCATTGTTTTTCCAGATAAATTTAATAGAGCTAGTGATTTGTTTGTGACTGGAAGGGAAAGTTGTGTGCATTTAATTATTTCTGCGTTAAATACTGACTGCTGTTCATCCTTGAGCGTGGAGTGCCTATGTCAATTTTTCGTTGCGCAGATCATAGCCGTGTTCGAAGAGCAGTCATCTCCCTGCCCGACCCACAATGCTGGAGATGGGACCAGTGCTAGTTCTGTGGGTACGGAGAGCCCTGACATCTTCCACTGCAATGAGTTGAACCACAATGGGGGCATCAAGGGTGGTTCGAGTTACATTGACGTGGAAGAAATTACCGCAGACAAGCTTCCAGTGGGTGAGTTAAAAGTTCGGCAAACGACCTGCTGTTTTTCTGTGAAATATAATGCTGCTCAAACCGTCAAGGATGGCAGCAGTGTGCGATATCACTAAAGCAAGAAGGAAGCTCTGGCTTGTCGATATTGCAACTGTGGAAGGTTACGCCACCTGTAAGCATTCGCAGCTGCATTCCATATGAGCCGCGGCATAGTGCCTGTGGTTGAAGGCTGCATTGTAGTGCTGCGTTACAAAGTATTGCAAAACTAAATACCATTTCATATTGCTAGCATTTATTAAACTTTGTGTCAGTATGATCTTGTCATCTTGGAGCCTCTCCTTTGTATGTCTACAAGTGTACACTTGCACAGTAGTAGACACACATGCATCTATAATCAATACGTTTAAGTATGCAAAGATTTTCATGGAAGCTGCAATGGTTTCATGTGAAACCCTGCATTGTATAGGTTTGTGCGTCGAAAAAGCACGACCCTTGTCCTATGGGAACCTTAGGCACATGTTGATATGTTGATTACTCTCATAAAATTTGAAAATGTATTTATGTGCTCTGTCTTATTGACTTTCTTGAATCACAGGCATAGTGAGGGCACGGCATTGATTCTGAGTGCTGATTTACCACATACACAAAAATAGATGTTTTCAGAATAATAAGCAGCAACACATAGGTGCACTGTATTGCATGCATCTGTCCACATTACCTCATGTCACAAGGTGTGTGAAAATTCATTGTTGGCCTCATGATAAGTATAATAAATCGTTACTTGCAATAATGCGCTATTGTTGCTGTCAGTGGCAGCAGTAATACCAGTGAAACATTTTTGAACATTGCACTTTTCCCATTGTGTTTGCAGGCGTCGCTCCCCTTCAGGTTCGAAGGGGCAGTGAGCCGACGCTAAATCGTCTTTCACCAGTTTCATCTGAACCTGATCCCAGCAAGAGGTGGTCAGCTGCTGTCGTTGTGGATGATCTTTCGCTTACTCGAGATGTGAAGGAGGTGTGTGTTTTCTTTTTCTCACTTGTGCGCAGTGCATGTGCATTTGCAAGCCATGAAAAGCTGAGTGTAGGGGACGGATAATAAATTCTAGCCATCAGTCATTGACGTATCTGCAAAAGAATTTTAAAAATCTAGGGGAGGGGACTTGAAAGCTTGTGTGTGTCCCTGTGATGGCTATTGATTCTGAGCCTCATGGTTGTATTAAACAAGATTTCTCCTGTGAAACTTTGGTGTCATGATACATACCTTTGATGCCATGGCAACTTGTGATTCCATGATTCCTGTTCTTCAGTAAGCGAAGGGGCAATGTCATACTAACACACTGAATGTTCTTTGTACATACTGCATTGTCGTCACGTGTGTTTCATGTTTTGTTCTGCAACCCCACAGAATGGCAGCCTGTCAGATAATGAGCAGCAGCCTCCTCCCCCACCTGGCGAGAGGGGTGAGGGAAGTGGCGGTGAAGAGAAGTCTAACGCGGGGACATTGTCGCGCATTTCTCGGGGCTCTGGACGACTGTCCATGCTGGGGAACAACCCCCACATGCTTCGGTGGGCAGAGGCGGCTGACAGGCAGCTCTACAAGGCAAGTGTAGTTGGATTGTGCCGGGTGTATTCAACGATGTCGTAGTTTTCAACATCTTCTGCTTAGATGTGTGCCAGTCCCATACTTGCAAACTTTTAAGATTGTTTAGTAAAAGTGCCCCATTTCTGATTTAATGCAAGAGTTGTTCCTAATGAATACAGTTGCTAGTCAGTTCTTGTAGCCAGGTTTCTCAAGCCTGTTTTGTCCGCACAGCAACAGCACAGGAGTGTATAACTAGAACCATTATTTCATTTAGTGTCAGGTGATTGCATGAACATTGCATCATGGTAGAAAAGATAAAGAATTAGAAATTAAGTCCCCTTCGTCAGCCATTATGTGTTCATTCCATTTTGTGCAAACATATCACCCTGGTCAATTGATGGCAGGAAAACATTGCTTTCGTCATTGTATCACAATCAAACATAGATACACAGGCAAACATTTGTCCTGCATGCATCAGAGATAGTTGCCGAAACGGCATGTTTTTCGTGCATTCTTACTCGGCTCTCTTTACATCAAGAGCGGCAGACTTATAATAATTAATGCTATTTAGGTAGTTGCAGTATGCATAGATTTAAAAGCCAAGATTTTCTGCAGTATATCTGTGCAGCTACACTTTCTATGCAAGAGAAACTGTGCTAAAATAGAAAATTGATTGATATGTGGGGTTTAACGTCCCAAAACCACCATATGATTATGAGAGATGCCGTAGTGGAGGGCTCCGGAAATTTTGACCACCTGGGGTTCTTTAACGTGCACCCAAATCTGAGCACACGGGCCTTAAAATAGAAAAAGGACACCACAAAGAAGGAACACTCAACAGATCTGTCTAGTGTTCCTTTTTTGCGGTGTTCATTTTTATTTTAGAACAATTTCTTCTGCACAGAACAAACCAATTAGCCCATCAAGACGTCCTGAGCTACACTTTTCATAGCATCATTCACCTGCACTAAGTGTGGCACCTCTGTCAGGTCACATTCAAGGGACAATTGCAGAGATAGAATTGGCTGTTAGTTACGCAAGCTCTTCTCACATTCTGTCCAGCACGCTATAATTATTCTGTGCTTTTGAAGATCATAACAGAGCATGGTTGGGGTTTGGGGCGGGTAAGCATTTGAATAGGCATTGCACAACATGGTGTTTCTCGAGTAAGTTTTCTGTACGGCTGGCTTATGTCACCTGTAGTATCATTGCCACTTCATTGCTGTAGTAATCATTCTGGTTCATTTTACGGCACGTCTATTGAGTAGTACTTCTGTGAAATGGAGATTATAATCCTTTACACTATCTTTAAATTATGCTTGCTGTCACTGTGCATTTGCAGTTTCAAGACAGCAGGAAAGAACCACTGGGCAGTGCTGGCTCTTCTCCCGACAGGGACAGTGCAGCTTCTTCAGGGAGCAGCCACGAAGAAAGGTGAGGAGGCTTGGCACACATTTAGGCACCTATTTTTGTCCTTGTATCGTTTCTGCATATCTACTCTATCGAGCTTATGTGGAGGAAAGTTTTGCTTTGAAGGAAGTGTTCTGTTGCAGTCAGGTGATATTCTTAATTCTGTAACTGTCATTCATTTGTTTTGGGAGAAAGAGCTTGCTTGATGCTGTGATAAAGTCATTAATGGATATAAATCAGAGTTGAAGCTTATGGTTGCTCAATGAAAGCTGAAGTGCAGATCTACTTCGGGGTAACAGCTGCCTGGATGTCAAGGACGTCTGTATGTCTGCCTCAAGTAGCTGTCACAGTTCTTCTCTCACTGCCACATTCTTAATGAATGTAGTGTCCATTAAGCGAGATCACTATGATAATTGTACTTACTCTAGAAAAAACAAGGCTGAAGAAACACTCTACTCTTTTTTTTTGCCATCTTTTCTCTTACAAAACCATTGCAGCCCGGCCTCTGCCACCTTGTGACCAATTGAGTGCACAAAATTGTTTTCCTGTGACCACTATGCTTCCTCCCTTTGGTTTCTCACAACTTTACAAAAAAGAACTTGAGTTCCACACTCAAAACATTCCTCCCTGCAGATCAGTGCAGTGCATGCAAATGATGGTTGCAATGCTAATGCTAAGTCAATAAATGCTACTAGCCAATATGGTTCACGTGGATTGGAAGTGTATTGCATCCACAGTATAAATAGGTACCAGCACACTTAACTTCCAGTTTTATCATCTGAGGAATTAGACACCACAACAGCAAAGATACTCTCTGTGGCGCCTTAAAACAAAAGCAGAGTGCGAGAAAAACAGGACAGGAGAGACAACATGGGATGGGCGCTCCCCATCGTCTTGTCTCTCTTGTCCCGTATTTTTTTGCGCTCTGCTTTCATGTGAAGACAATAAATGAACTCACCCAGCAAAGCATTCTATTAGGTTTCTTCAGAGCACTTTCTTGATCGAGCCAACTGCTCTGAGCGAGATGGTATAACTTGTGACATGCATATCTAACCACTTTGCTATAGGTAGTATTTCGTTTATGCATTATGCTACACTCATGTTCATCGAAATTTTGTCACAGTGTGTGTGTCTTGCTCATAATTCTCAGTGTTATAATCAACTCCTATTAAGCAAGAAGACAGGTTAAGAGTACAGGGTAAGCAAAAATATTGAAAAAAAAATTATTTTGTTTTTTTTATGTTATTTGAAATTTGTGGCCTTTTCTGAACCAAAATCAGCAATTCGTTTGTCTCAGTGAAATATTTTCTTTGTCTAAAAATGACATATTTCAACACTTGTGTGGTGGCATGCCATGCCCCATTCCTGCGCAGCAAGGTACTGTATTTCTTGCTGTTCAAGCATCATGGCTATATGGAGAGTTTAAGTTGCAAGCTGGAGTGTATTTAGCATATTTAGAAAAGAATGGGCCCAAAACTGCGAGAACAAAAAAAAGCAGCAGTATCAAGCTTTCTGTTGAGAAATGTGTATCTAGTCGGGGTGTCATCATTGGCACGCACCAAAACAAGTATCGTTTGGCCATTAAAAGAAATAGAGCCAGCTTGGAGGACATGCAAAAAGCTGTCCAGTTCACATATTTTCACATGGCATCAAAGGATACCAATCAATCCCACGGCCTTGGCTTGAAGGACGCCAAAACTTGGTGTAAATTCAACAAACTCCAGTTGAATCGTGAACCACTCGCTCATAAAGAACTCCATCCAGCATCTGTTATTGAGGCTGTTAAAGGCCAACTCCGGCGATTTTTTGACCATGTCAGGATAATGGTGATTTTATCTCCCTTAGACACTCTTCTCACGGGCCTGATAACTGAAATGCTCAAAATATTTGAAAATAATTTTTAATTACCAAAAAACCGAAATACCGAAACCCAATCGAGTGCGCTTCTACATGTGATTTAAAGATTTGCCTGACGCTGCCGGAACCTGCCTGATTGCACGTAATTCTCGCCAGATGGCACTACCCGTCCACATAGTCTGCGGCGATCGGCTAAAACGCTTACGCTGTTATGGAGAATATATGGCGAATCGTGTGTGGCTCACAACGCAACACCACTTGGCACCTATCGCACGCCCACCAACTCGGAAAAAAGAATCGTTCACTCAACCAAGGAAGCGCCAGCCAAACCTACACAATCCATAGCAAACAAGCAGACGCTGCAGTGGCACATCAGTTCGTCACTTCCGCCAGGCAAAAGTCAACGTCACACACACACTGTTGCCATTAGTTCTGGCAGTCGAGGTGAGCGTTTCGAGGCAAGCTATAAAATTCATTTGAAAAGAATCTGCGAAACTCTCAAGCCTGCAATTTGGCATGAATGGTGCAAACGAACGTACACAGTGTATTTCATTGAGATCCACTGACCTCGAAAAATCTCTGGCGTTGGCCTTTAAGCCAAATTATCTGGAACTAGCTCATCCAGAATTACTTGCTAAATGCCTCCACAGGAAAATGCAAAACCATAAGGAGTCGTTGGATTGTTGTGTGGGATCCCCAAAAAAATGTTTTCTTCGAGCACCAAACGCTGTAAATATGCACTCTTGATGCTGTGTTCACTTTTAATGATGGCAATATAGTCCGTGTCAATGTGTTGAATTATTTTGGAATTTCGCCAGGGTACTGCACAGTACTGTGCTGACATGGCTGCATAGCAAGCGACAAATGAGGCTCGCTAGGCAAGCCGTTTCAAAATAAAAAGAAGAAAAAATGACATTGGTGATGAATATATGGCTGGTGCCTATTGAATGGGTTTTATCAATTTGCTGTTATCTCGTACTTTTGAAATAATCCAGATTTTCAATTTCATATGCAATTATCTAAAAGCGTGCTATTTTTGTACTTGCGTTCTTTTAGCAACCACAGTATCTAGACACACAGATTACAACCTGTATTTAGATAACATAATGGGGAATATACTGGAGCAGAATTATTGTTGTGTGAGAAAATTCTCTTCTTCAGCACAACATCTAATGGCTATTACTGAGTGATAATTAGGTACACAAATAAAAAAATTACAAAAGTTTAGCCGTAGTAAGATCAGCTTCAGTAAGAAGAGGAATGGCTCATGATGACAATATAGTAAAATAATTACTGTAACTTTTGTGGTTATGGCGAAAAAAGTATGTAAACCTTGCATAAAGTACATGGTAGTTATAGGCTTACTCTGTTCCTTTAAAGCAAGCAATTGTGCAATGATTCTTAATTGGTATATTTTACTTGTTCATCTAGGGACTCTATAGTTGTACTCAAGAACGAAGCCGGTCCACTGGGCATCCATGTTGTTCCTGAACAAGGCAGTGGGGGAAGGTGAGGACAGTTCACTTTGCTGTAAAGGGACACTAACGTCAAAATACAACGCAGCGTGAACTTTTGAAATATTCCAAAAACCTTGTAGTGCTGGTTTATTTCGCGCCAAGGAAATGGCTAGTTTGAAAAAAGAAAAATCTCGCTTCACACCACTTGCCGCGCAATGGGCCCCTAAACCACCCAGAGTCAAAATTCAGTTGTGGTGGGGAAATGTGCGCGAGTGTACGATGAGCACGGAGCGGTCACAATTTATCGAAATGGTGCCGTGATAGCGGAGTTAAACGCGTTTGATTATCGAAACCGCAACGATTCCTCCTTTTGCTCTCTCCTGCACTACCCTCCATGGTATCCTCTCCCGAAGCCGCTTTGCCCTCTCACCGAGTGTTCCTCCTATGCCCCTGCCAATCTCGCGTGGCATACATTATCGCTGACGCCCTGCTTGAAACACCGTCTACTTCCAGTTTTCACGACACCGTTAACTGCCTGCTCGTGCCGACCCGTGCTTATATGACTTGTGCCAGTATGCACTCTGTGTAGCCCGCACGCTTTCAAAGGGTCGTCAACAAGATGGACTCATACGCACACATGCGGGCAACATGAGCAACCACAAGTACTGTGGACAGCTGCTTGCAGACTAACCAGATGTCGTAGGCTCTTGCTTGACCAATCACAGCATATTTGTGGCTAGCGTGGATATTTGAACGGCGCATCAGGGATATTCGTACGGCGCATCACGCGGAGGCCGAAAAGGCTTGAAAAGAAGGAGAGATTGTTTCTTGGAATTTGTGGCCCGCCTGCGCTGCCACGTGTAGAATCGTTCATCGTGATGGCATTCTGAACACATTGGGCGTGTTTACTTGAAAAGTTTGAAAAAGTATCGGAGGTGGTTTGGGGCCCTTTAAGGACTCATGATGTAGGTAAGCACTTTCCAACACCGCTTTACTCCAGTGCCTTCCATTATCTGGCAACACTGTGCCTCCCTCGAAAATGCATGCCAGAATATTTACTAGTATTCTTGTTTTGCTGGTCACTGCTGCTTGCACTGTAGAGCAATTTTTTTTGCAGCAGAGCTGTTACGGTGTCTGACGATACTCGGACACTGTCGTGTAGTGTTCCGAAGCTGCATGTGATCTGGCTGTCAGTGCAAGAATGAGGCCTTCTCATCTTTGTACGAAGTTGTATTTGTGGTGGTTCCATTCAGTGAGCCTCCTCTTGCTGCCGTCGAGATGCAACAGGGTAATCTTACGTTCACGTGTGTGGTCCGTGTTGAACCAATGTTGATCCCCTCCTAGGATTTGTGCAGAAGGCACCTGACGACCCATTTGGCTTTAATGCATGGAGAGGGGTGGTTCACAAAAACAGCTGTGAGAATGCAACTACACTAGCGGAAACTACCACTGAGACGCGACTGCGTGAGCGGAGTGCATGCTGAAAAAAAAAAAAAATGAAACTTTTGAACCGCCAGCACCATTCGCCGTGGTAACGCCAAGCTCTTTTTGCTATTAATTAAGAAGAAACACATAGGCAGCACTTTGTTACGTCTAGTATATCATGCATGAAATGTTATTTTGTATTATAAGTAGTTTGAGTGCTGGTGAATACTTGTAGTCGGTACTTTTGACATTATCAGGCTCATTCCAAAATGTCCCTCTCGTGGCGCATATTGTGTCTTACTTTTTGAGGAGAGCACTGTTATTGTTAATATTGACATTTTAGATGTTCTCAAGCATTAACCTTTTACGGTGACACAACCTGTTATTAATCTTTACTGTTTCTTTAAATACATACTCCTGCTTGGCGTGGCAGCAAAATCATTTAGTCCTAATGAAGTGTAATTTAAAAAAAACTTGGGGAACTTTTTGTCTGCAAATTTTCGCTGTTTGTAGACTTCAGAAGCTCTTTAGAAAGTTGTTTGCATGTGCTTACCTCTTCTTGTGTGGAACTAGGGACATGGGCCTGGTGATTCAGGGCATTGAGCCGGGTGGTCGAATAGACCGAGATGGCCGGCTACGGGTCGGTGACACCATTGTTGAGGTCAATGGCCGGAGCCTCCTGCACCTTAGTTTCCAGGCTGCACAGCAAGTGTTCAAGGTAGGTGTGTTGCAATGATATAGTTCCTCAATATATTTGTTGCCTAGAGAAGGGCGAGACTGAAGTTGGTCATAATACCACTGCAGATCTATACCGAAAAGTGAGTGACGTCTGTCATGCACATTTTAGGGAAGGACTAGTAGAAAGGGTAAAAAGTGCAAAAAGAAACATGCTGAACCAAGATGCGAGGCATCGAAATAACACTACTGCATATTTTCTTAGTGTTGCCTGGTATTCCTGCAAATTTTTTCATTTTTTCATGATTACGTAAGTACCAACAAGGGACTTCGTCAAGCTTCACTGAAGTCCACAGAAATGATTTTCCAAATGATTATGGTGATGGTGTTGAAAATGATGACAATGATGATGATGATGATGCTTTAAATGTGCAAGCCCACATATTTCAAATGCTGTAGCAGATATATGACACCACTTTATCTCACTAGCCAGTCATGTACATTCAAGTGCTTACAGCTTCAGTGTTTTATGGTTTTCACGAGATGGCACTGGCTGAAATTCCTTTTTTGTCTCGTTGCAGGAGGCGCTACAGGTCTCAAGAAATCTGCCTGCACCTGTCACGGCGGAGGCCGACACATTCTGGTTCCTCTCCTATGTCATCACCTCCTCCTCCTCTGCCCCTGTCGCTGCCTCCATCCCTGTCATCAACACAAAGTAGCAGTGATGCGGGTTTTTCCTCTGTAACATCCTCACTGCAAAGTCCACCCAAGAGGCCGCCCCCGCCTCCATTCCGCAATGACCCTGTCGAAGGCCTTAACAATGGTGTCGTCAACGGTCTCGTTGAGGGAGAAGAGAGGAGTGAGTGGTTCGGAGTGTTTCAGCCACGGGGCTGTTATGAGGTGCTGATAGATTATTGATGAGGTTTACAGGAGCTTGAAAAATATTACTGAGTCATTGTCATGATCAGCTGTACTATGCTCTTGCTCTTGCAAAGCATGTAGGTGCGCAGTACTTTTATTTGTTGGCGGAAGGGGTTTTCTGCTGATAGGGAAAACAGATGTAATATAGGGAAGTGGATCTGAAAACCTAGGCCAACTTTGCCCTAAGGTACTTAAAAGAAAAAAAATTGCATGGGATTCTTGTTTGCATTTCACTAGATAATTCCTTGGACCCATAAGTAAGCAGCTTGTGCAATGCTGCACATTCACATTGAATTTGGTGAAATCGGTCTGCTCAGCTTTCAGTGTCACAAGTAAGGCTGGGTGTACTTAGCCTGTGCTCTGTACCAGTAATAGGATGTAGTGTTGCTGCCGTAGGCACTTTGGAGCCAAACTGGTGTGCCTAGTGATTCAGATAGTACTCTGGTACTACCAATTGGTACAAGCTGTTCTTCATTACTCATCATTTATTAACCTTTAAAGGCTTATTCAAGGTATTACATAAGGCGGGACTACAGTAGACTCTCAGTAAGCGGAAATCTGTTGAATGGAACTGCTGCTTGAACGGTACTATTGCCTCTGCAACGCTTGGTTTCGGGCTTGTATTCTGCACCCATGTTCACCTCTCAGTAAATGTAACTCCTGTTAAACTGAACACATTTTCCCAGTTTCTTCAGGTTTGGTGTACTGATAGTCTACTCTATATCAGGGACATGTCATGACAGAAATGCAGTGCTTGAATAGTTGGTAACAAGCAAAGCAATTAAACAGCAGATAAACCAAAAGGCAGAGTAAATTGGAATAGTGTAAGAACTAATACAGATGGTAGGCAGTCGGATGCGAACACCAATGAATACCTTAAAAAAGAAAAAAAAACTTTATTGTTGAGAAGAAGCTAATTGCCGATCTGGATGGTGTGAGAGTTAGCTAAAAACTGAAGACAACAGCACTTTGAATTTGTCTGGGTCGCACTCCTAAACGAAAAATTCCAGAAGGTTGTTCTTGTGTTGATTGCTGAAGGCAAGAATTATTTGTTAAAGGCTCGATTTGATTCATGGAGACCTTGAATGCTTTTAGAGTTGAACATTCGACGTGAGGTGCGAGTTGGTGGAATCAGTAGAGTGCCATGCAGGTGAGAAAAGTTGCGGTACAGTTTATGAAGCAGGCTGATCTGCGCAGTTATTCTGCGATCATTTGGAAGAGTAAGCTCAAGAGGACATGATCTCAGTGACACATGCATGTTTACTGTACCAAGATGATATGAACCGGGCGGCAAAATTCTGAACTGACTCAAGGGAAGAGATGAGGTAATCTTGATGGGGGCTCCGAATCGAGGAAGCTAGTTCTAGCTTTGTCCTTACGAATTTTTGTATGCAAGTTTTCTGATGATGGGAGGGAAGGGACGGAGAAGTCGTTAGAGAAATCCAAAGGTCTTGAACGTGCCTGCTGCAAGTTTGATGATGTGGTCTGACCTGGTCAGGATAGTGCTTATGAGGATACCCAGGTAGTGGTAGGAGTTCCCTTGAGATATCACAGTGGAGTTTAAGGTGTACTAAAAAGCAAGGTTGGATTTTTTGCGAGAAATGAACACATGTTTGCATTTGGAGACATTTGGTTGCATGAGCCAGCCCATGCTTCGATGATGTTAAGGTCTTGATACAGTGATGATTGATCTGTACTATTGATTATCTTGCGATACACAACAGTCATCGGTGAAAAGACGGTTAAATGAGGTAATTCCAGATGGCAAGTTGTTGATGAATATGAAGAACAAAAAAGGGCAAAGGACCGTTTTTTGAGGAATCTCGGAAAGCACATCTGTTTTGGCAGAAGAGTTTCCGCCAATGGAAGTGAATTATGAATGAAGCTGTCAAAAAACTTACTAACCATGACAGTGTAAGTAGGTCGAGTTTAGTGTGCAGAGCTTAGTTATGAAACGACGGTGGGCTTCGTGGTCAGAGGCTTTTGAGAAATTGATGAAGATGGCATCATTCTGATAGGATGGATCAAGGTTTAAGCGCAGGTCACTTGTGAATTCGGCCAACTGTGTTTCGCATGATAAGCTGGAGCTAAAACTGTGCTGCTTGCTGTAAAAAGAAAAAGTTATCTTCTAGGTGATTGGCATTATGGGAAAATATTATGTGCTATAATATGCTTACTGTATCACTCCTTTCTTTATTGTAGCTATAATATGCCTATTGTATCAGACTCCTTTGTTTGTAATTGATTAATAGTGCAGTCTTTGTTCTTTTCTTTTCTTTGCACATTGGAAACCCTTTTTTTCTTTAACACCTGTTCAACTGCCTTCTATTCGCTGTCCTCTGTGCAGGTGGTCTCAACAGTAAGGTGGCAACGGTAACGCCAACCAAAAAGCTTCCGCCACCGCCACCTTCTGCCACTGCCAATGGACGATCAACAGCTTCGAGCCTCAATGTTGCCAACACGCGTAAGATCGGTCGCAAGGTACACATAAAATTGGTCAAGGGGCCCGAAGGATTGGGCTTTAGTGTGACAACGCGGGACAACCCGGCCGGTGGGAACTGCCCAATTTACATCAAGAACATCTTGCCTCGCGGAGCAGCTATTGATGATGGCCGGCTCAGGCCGGGTGACCGGTTACTCGAGGTGAGGTGATATGTGTGACAACACAGATTACTTATATGATTTGCAACTTAGGAGTTGTGGAAACATTAACTTTGCTGCTTGGCTCGTCAGATGTAATATAAACTCGAATTGATTAGGCTGTAATGTGCAGCCTGCAATATTCTACACAAACCAATCAGCCAGTTTTGTCAAGCAGCAAATGCATGACTTGCTTACTATATTGAGTGTGTAATACTTTTGGGAAGTAACAATAGACAGTTTTCTTAATTGTAAAGCTAGCTTTTTTGCGAGGCAGTTGGCCCAAGTAATGTTGTCTAGTCACTTTCCGCAAACAGCATGTTCAAGCGCAGTTTCATTGCGTCATAATGTGGAAAGCATATAATCTGTTCTCTTGATGGTAAACTTGCATGATGGACATGACCAACACATGCAACTAGGACCTTGTCTTCACTTGAAATACAACAGGTGCGGCCGTTACTTCGGTAAATAAGCAGCACAGGAAATCGCAGTTGCAGATTGTGAAAAGGGCCTATTGAAAAAAAAAAAAAGAAGATCCTACAGTGTTCTGTCTGCAAAACCACAAATGGCTTCATCATTTCAGACAGTAGTTCATTTACAAGCTAGTACATATAACCATTGCAAGTCCCTCAACTCCGTGAGATAGTATGTAGCTGCTGTTTGTAGATGTACCTAACTATTTTTAGCAAAGACAGTTACGACTTCTCAAGAAGTTTTCCCAGCAAATAAAAGGATCAACTAATGGGATCTGGCAAATCTCTGGTCGCCATGCAGCCACACTTTTTTATGTAAATACTGGGGCTAGTTTGAAATCATGCTAATTCGAAGTGGAACTGTTATGAAACACTCCGCTTTTGCTAAATTAATGGATGGTAGTAGGCTTGTGCAAATATTTGAATGGTTCGAATATTTGAAAAATACTACAGTATTCGAGTTCGATGCGAATTTAAATTGTTGAAAATTTTGAAGTATTCGAAATGAACGAATAAATGTATATAATTCCGCATGTAATCCTCCTGTAAAGTTCATTTTACTGCGGTGGAGGTATGAGAAACTGTGAAAACATCTTAACAAGGGAAATCTGCACTGCAGCGAAGCCTTACTTAAAGTATTTAAGAAGAACTTCTTGCTGGGCGATTTGGTGCATGTCTATGGTATGTAAAGTTGCGCGTACAATCGGACAAACACAGGAAGGAAAGCCTTACTTGAAGGTTAGATGAACATCATACCCTCACATCAATTTGCCAATTTTAAAGTTTAACAGCTTGTTATGCTGGCTTATATGCTCTAAATGTAGTAAATTTTAAAATGAACATAATTCGCAGGTTATCGCTTGTGTTCTACAGGAAATCAAATCCTGATATTATTCAAAGTTGTTTCACCTTCCTTTGAATAAAAAAAATGTCGTTTGCACTGGCCTTGTTTCAATTTTTAAAAAGTACTCTGCAGGTTAGTTAGGCCATAACAAATATGCCAATTTTTTTTTATATTATATGATGTATACTATTCAAATTCGATTCAAAATTATTCTACCAAAATCACTATTCACTCCTAATTTGCTTTGAACCTAAAATTCACTATACGCACAAGCCTAGGCGGTAGTTCACATACATGAAACGATCTTTTCAGGTGAATGGTGTAGAAATGACCGGCCGGTCACAAACTGATGCTGTCACAATATTGAGAAATGCACCACCTGGAAGCACTGTGGAGTTGGTTGTCTCCAGGCAAGAGCCCGACCCTTCACCTAGTCCTGGTCTTCCGAGAGAAATTGTGAGTTCCTGGTGCTCGTATCTTGTCAGAGTGCTGGTTCATATGGCTTCATGCGGTTCTCTAATGTCTAATAATTACGCACCTCTTGATTCCCCTGAATCATCACATACCTCGTGCTTTAATGTTGCCACGCCTCGCTGCAGTGGTCTAGTGGCTAAGACTGCTGACCCGCAGGTTGCGGCATAGAATCCTGGCTTCGGTGGCTGCATTTTCGATGGAGGTGAAAATTCTGTAGGCCCGTGTGCTCAGATTTGAGTGTACGTTAAAGAACCCCAGGTGGTCGAAATTTCCGGAGCCTTTTACTACGGCATCTATCATAATCATATGGTCGTTTTGGAACGTTAGACCCCACATATCAATCAAATCAATCAATCATGTTGCCATAGTGTTATGTATGATAAAATGCAATTGATAAATGCTGCATATTTGAATTTGAAAATAGAAATTGACTTAAGCCAGTGTAGCTAATTAATTAAACAAAAAATTTTAAGATATGTGTGATGATATCAAAGCCATATGATGTATATAATCTGGCACTAAGTTTCAAGTGTTGTGGACTGAGGGTGAATGTTTGTACAGTCAAGTAAACATGTTATTACTGAGAAACTATTTGGTTCATTACCCTAAAATGCTAAAGATTGGGATATATAAATGTCTGTATGTAACTTGCTATTTTTGCTCATCCAGCGAGGCTTCTTTTCTGCAATACTTACTATTACAGGCTATACTTTTATTTGGAGCCGTGTAATTGATCATCGCCACATTTCACTCAAGATGAGCTTTCTGCCCGCACCGAATGACAGGGTGTTGTAAGGAACATAGCAAAGCGTTAACATTCAGCCGATGCCTGTGCCTATAATGTGCACAAGGTTGATTGATTCTCTCTAAGAGGGTTTGGACATCTCGACTTGTGTCATTGAATTGTTCCTTGACCTCTTTGTCTGAACCTCCCATCATGCAGCCCCCTGAAAAAGCTGGTGATGAAGTCGGCATTTTCCCCTGGCGTCAGAAGGAAATTCTGACACTTGACATTCCACTCAATGACACTGGTTCGGCTGGCCTTGGCGTGAGTGTCAAGGGCAAAACGTCGACTGGTGCCAGTACCCCTGTCGACCTGGGCATCTTCGTCAAATCAGTGATCCACGGTGGCGCTGCATCTAAGGTTGGCTTTGTACATGTACTTTACATTGTAAATCAGTTAAAAAGTATGGTACAAAGGTTTCATTACTATGTATAAAAAAAATGAGTAATAAATTTGAAAAAGGTGAGCTGAACTCAACCTGTTGATTAGCTAGCTTAATCTTATCCAAAGCTTTAAATCTTCAACAATGCTTTTAGTTAACTCAGAGGCTTACTTTTGATCACAAGCCTATTTGGTAAGGGAAGCCTGAATTCGGTATATAATTATGTACTTTTCATATCCCCACGAATGCTGAACATACTGCAATCACTTTATTGTAGCTAGGTGTAGCGTGCTCTTAAAGTTTCTTAATACGTACTTTCGGGCTGGTTGGTGAGCCGTGATATTTTATGAAGCAGCGTACCAAGAGATACAATCATGGGCACATAAAACGAGGCAAACACGTGTGTTGTACTTCAACTGAGTTTCAGTACAGTTGTTGTGTTCGATCATTTTATGAGTACGTGGTTGTGTCCTTTGTGCACTGCTTCGTCATTTATCTTTAAAGTAGCCTGGCTCTCTAGCAGGCGAGCACATTGTGCTGTCTTTTACTTAATGTTTTCCGCATCTCTACTAGCTATCTTGTTTCTTCTTGAAACCCTTGTTGCTTGGGCTTTTATTGCAATGAGCTTTGTTTGCCTCAGCTCGTGTAATGAGAAGTGACTTTCTGTTTTTTGTTGCTTTCTAGGATGGGCGCTTGCGTACGAATGACCAGCTGCTCACATCAATGGCATCTCGCTCCTGGGCATGACCAACAGTCAAGCCATGGAGACACTGCGTCGTGCCATGACCCAAGGCGAGGGGCCAACCCCAAATGCCATCACACTCACCATAGCTAGGCCGGGTTCCCTCACAAGAGTCGCTGACAAACCTCAGGTGCGGCATTTATTCGACAAGTAATCTTTGAAGTGCCGCTTTTGAGGACTGAAAACGTGATAGCAGGGGAATAGATGTACAGATACTGGAGACAGTCATTAGCTAACTAATACCATGCCTTTCAGAACATTTGTCAATACTACATGAGTAGCTCCCTGCATCTAATCATTACACAAAGTCTTGTTTTTATTTATGGCCTGTGCAGGGTGAAATTAGATTGAGAAAGGGCTGTACCACTTGGTGTTTTGTGTGAAGCTATAATGATTGGATTAATCTGTTATAAAATTTATGCAAATTATTTCAAATTATTGCCTTTCTTTAAATTTTCTGGATATCACAAGTATTCGAATGCACTGTTACCTTACCTTATCTCTAAAAAAATCCCCAAGTGCTTTGTCTACTGTCTTCACCTCTCACTCCTCACCTCTTTTGATCAACATTATATGATCACTGTTTCTGGTTTTGTTGACGGGAAGTTCTGATTCAGACTTCAGTCAACAGTAGCGTACTACTATGCAAACTTCTTTCAGTACTTTGTCGTCTTCACTGATCACAAGATGAAAAAAAAAAACTGCTTTCTTCGTCGAATGATTCTGTGCACCAATGCAGGTTTGAGGAAGGCTTCCTGTCCAGTGGGGACTCGTTCTCGGTACATCTGCGATCGGACTCGCTGCTAAGTTCAGACTCAACAGCTGCCTCCTCGTCCTGTGAAAACCTCTCGGTCTCGGGGGGCAGTGGTCGAACACCAGACCACTCCACAAGCGGCAACTCTGAAAAATTCTTCCTACATGCAAAACAGCGAACTCGTTTATGAGGCACTTCGTATTATGGAATGCATACTTAGTTTGTCGACTGGGCCTCCTTAGATACGCACAT